TTAGCGAGGTAGGCGGTAAATAATGTTTCCCTTGGTGACATACATAGATCGTATATTATTGGTCGATTGAACTCTATAATAACAAAAAAAAAAAAAAAAAAAGAAGAAGAAAAAAGGAAAATACATAAATATACGTAAGTATGTTAAACGCATATATACGTTAAAAGTGCCAAAGTTTAATCCAATGTCGACTTCGATAAAGTCAACCTCGATAAAAATGAACGAGAAAGAACGCTTGGTAAATTTTATTTTGAAAATAGCAAATTATCTCAAGGACGTTCGCGATTACGTCACGTTAGTCCAATCAAAGCGAATATGCGGGATCTTCTATCTATTGGAAGAGAGAGAGAGAGAGAGAGAGAGAGAGAGAGAGATAGAGAGACAGAGAGACAGAGAGAGAGAGAGAGAGACAGAGAGACAGAGAGAGAGAGAGAGAGACAGAGAGACAGAGAGAGAGAGAATGTGTGTGTGTGTGTGTGTGTGTGTGTGCACGCGTGTGAGAGAGAAAGATAGCGTTGCTGTTAAAATATCAAGTTTTATCTATCGCATAATCCAAACCCAAGACTAATCGAGACTAACTCTAGAGATAAGTAACTAAGAGCTATAACATGGAAATGAGTTGCAATAGTTCGACGAATATTCGTAAAAAAAAAAAAAGAAGAAAAGAAAAAAAAAGAAAAAAGAAAAAAGAAAAGAGAAAAATGTTTCGCCCTGATAATTATATGAATGACAAAAAAGGGACAAAAGCAAATTTCTTGTTTTGATCGAATAGAGAAAAAAAAGATGTTGTGGTTTAAATCTTTCGTTTTATTTCTCTCTCTCTCTCTCTCTCTCTCTCTCTCTCTCTCTCTCTCTTTCTCTCTCTTTCTCTCTCGAATTTCGTTTTGTATATCGTAACGTTGAACCAACGACAGACGATTCGGTTTCGTTGCCATTAACGATACTATCGTCGAATTGTATTGCAACACGATTTTATCGTTTTACTCTTGCGAAGTCGAGTGGGAGTCGACGCACGCGAGAGCATTCGAGAGGCTTATCCGATTTTTTCTTCTTTTTCTTTTCTTTCTTTTTTTTTGTTCTGTTTTCTTCTTTTTTTCTTTTTTCTTTTTCTTTTTCTTTTTTTTTTTTATTCTTATTTTCTCTCTCTTTCCTCCTTTTTATTTTCCTTTTCTTTTTTTTTCTTTCTCTCGCAAATACATGGAACGCGCATACGCTATATATATATATATATATATATATATATATATATATATATATATATATATACGTATATCTCGTGAACGCGTTTTAGCGTTTTATTTCTTATCGATAGACTTTGGCTTTGCTTTGCTTTGCCTTGCTTGTTTGTTTGTTTTTTTATGTTCTTTTCTTTTTCTTGTTTCTTTTTTTTTTTTTTTTATTTCTTCCTTCCTTCCTCCCTTCCTTTCTTTCTTTCTTTCATCTCTCTTTTGCGAGAAACACTTCCTCGCATTTAATAGTACCTATGGAACTTCGCATAAGTATTTTATGTTCTTTCCTCTCTCTCTCTCTCTCTCTCTCTCTCTCTCTCTTTTTTGTTTTTCTTTTTTCCTTTTCTTTTTTATTACGAGCGAACAAAAATTTAAAAGTACGTAGTTTTAAGAAAATGCTTCTTCCTTTTTCTTTTACCTTCTCTTTTCTTTTTTCTCTTTCTTTTTTCTTTTTTTGTTTTTTCATTGTAACACATACATATATATATATATATATATATATATATATATATATAAATATATATACGTAAGCATATACGATGTAGTTGTAAAGTAAGTATAAGCTCGACGAATCTACGCGTTTCACAGTTTTTCCTATTTACTCCGGATGTTCGAACGAGAGATGAAAGTTTCATGAGAATTTTATGCTCCTTTCCTTCCTCGTATCGCTTAGATTTTACTTTTTCTCTTTCTTTTTATTTCTTTTCCTTTTCTTTTTTTTTTTTTTTTTTTTTCTTTATTTTTTGCTTTTTTTTCCCCTTTTTTATTTTCGAACGAGAAAGATACGTATCTTCGTGAAAGGTTCGGATAAAAGGTTTTCTCGACTCAAACAGGAAGTTGTAATTCAGTTACAACGATTGTATCTTTATTTTTTCGAATATAATTTATGTCGAAATCTTTGTATTTCGATCGACGATTTTCCCGATGGTAACAATTTTTCTTCGGTCTTATTTGAGCGCACCTTAAGGCTTCACTTTTGTCTTGGCGTCTATCCAAAGAAAAAAAGAAAAAAGAGAGAGAGAGAGAGAGTGAGAGAGAGAGAGAGAGAGAGAGAGAGAGAGAGAGAGAAGGAAGAAAGAGAGAAAAGAAGGAAACGCGCATCGTGCGGTCTGCGAATTTTTGGTGCTTCTCGCGGTCGAACCTTCGTCGTTTTTTTATTAGAAAAGAAAAGAAAAGAGAAGAAAAAAAAATGAAAAAGAAAAAGATAGGAAGAAAAAAGAAAAAATAGAAAGAAAGAAACAAACAAAAAGAATGTATCGAAAAATTTCTTTCATCTCCGATAACACGAAGTTTCACGTTGATTCGAAATATTTGATGGATATTATATTTAATACGAAAGTATGCTAAATACCCAAAACGATATCCGATCGGCAACGTGATCTTAAAGTTTTGTTAAAGTGATAAATAATCGATTAGTATCACGATTCGTATCGATTATTATCGAAAGAAAGGAACAATCGATATTTCGATAATTCGATATTCTCAAATACGTATTCTTATCGGTAGTTGAACAATAAAGAAATCAAATCCATTTGTGGAACATTGAAAATAAATTCGTACTTCGTGATGAATCAAGAGCGACTAACTTTAAATATTTATACCCTGTTCGATCGTATAAATAGCTTTTGTAGGCTGGCCCATCGATCCAAGGAGACGCATCGCGGCGAGTGCGCGCGCGCGCGCACACACGAACGTGATTTACGAAACCCAAGAATTCGAATTGAGATTTTGCTTCGAAGTAAATGTCTACTGTAGATAGAAATATCTCTTCGATATATATAAAAAAAAAAAAAAAAAAAAAAAAAAAGGAAAACAGAAATAAAAATAAAAAGTAAAACGAACGAAACAGGAAATGTAAATGAAAAAAAAAAAGCATCACTTTTCTTTGATAAATACTTATGCGTTATTAACGTTCTTATGCATTATTATAAAAAAAGGAAAAAAGAAAAAAAAAAAAAAAATATTTGCACAGTCGTATTAACAACGAAAGAAAAACTTATATCAAGATTGATACAAAATTATTCTTCAAATATTCTATAATTTCGATATAAGGATAATAAAAAATTTAACAACAATAAATCGTCATTGCGACTTTTTAATAAGAAATATTAATTCTTAATGTGCTTTCCTAAAAGGAAAATCCTTCGTAGTGTCACGTTGATAATAACAAAAAAAAAAAAGAGAAAAAAAAAAAAGAAAAAAGGAAAAAGAGCACGAGAAATTTTTTTATTTCGTTGTTTATTATTCCGAATGTTCTCTTAATTAGACTTTCAAAAAGAACAAGAACGTCGTTGGGACTGGGCCCAACTTGTATTATAGAGAGAAAAAGAGAGAGAGAGAGAGAGAGTAAAGCAACCTCACCATCGCGTCGCCATTACTTTTATCCTAATGCTAATTGTTATCGCGGTATGTCGTTGCACAAGCGTAATTACCGCGTCGTTAGTGCAGTTACGTTTTCAGGGGTCGCGGACACGCGCACGCGATATTTTATAAGTTGCCTTAGGGTTTTACGAACGAACTATTTCTAAGAGACGTACATACCTTTCAACCTCTCACTTATTCGCATACTAATTCCTTACAAAGAAATTAATCATTATCAGAGTTGATATATATATATATATATATCAACTTTGATACAAATATATATATATATATTATAAATATAAATAAAATTCGCAATGGATACAAATTATTTACTTTGGTCTTTTATTATGCAGTAAATATATTTTGAACAAAGATAAAACGAACACGAGCAAAAGATTATTTTTAGCGATGAATTAAAGAACACGTACATAAATACGTATAATACATACATACATACATACATACATACATACATACATACATACATACATATATACATATATACATATATACATAGTTATTCGATAACATTCGAATAAGATTTTTCTAGTCGACGAAGCAGACCGATTATATTCACGATAGAGTCGATTGTTCAAAGGCAAATATCCGAGACTAATCGAATCGTAGAGCATAGTACCAATGGTAATAACACTGACTATCGATGACGATTCGTAAGAGATCCAATTCCTCAAGGATGCAAGTGTTACTTCGTCTGCCGGAATAGGAACTCTGGCATAAGATTATGCGTAAAAACATATGGACTATTTCAACACGGTCGAACACGAGTGTGCTTTACGCGTTTTACATGCACGTAATTACGTTGAAGGAATAAGAAGAGAGATAAAGAAAGGGGGGAAAAAAAATAAAGGAATGAAGAAAGAAAGAAAGAAAGAAAGAAAGAAAGAAAAAAATAATAAATGTAGAGCAGTCATATAGATATAGTTACGCATATATAAATATATAAAAAAAAAAAGAAAAAGTGTATATACATATAACACGTCTCGTTCGTACATTCGACAGAAAAATTTTCCGTAATCAGTACCTACGTACTATCTAGCAAATAACGTAATATATTATAATATATGATAGAGAAACATGCTGGCTGAAGTATCAATTCAAATATATTACTTTACAAGTTCGAATAGATCAGATAGATAGAAATAAAAACAAAAGAAGGGAATGTATAATAAAAATAAAGTAAAATAAAATAGAAGATCAATTTAATGACAAAAAAATTTAATTCTTCCTTTAATATTATCAAACGTAATTCGACGAATCAGATATCAAAGTCCTTTATTAAGATAAAAACCATTATTACGTTGAATGTCAACTCGACTAATCATTGATCGCAAAATTAATCTTACATGTCCTTTTCTCTCTCTCTCTCTGTTTCTGT